TTCTTACTCTATAGTCTATATAATATTTATAACTTATAAAATATATATATAAAATATACAAATAATATTAGTAACTTATAATATTTAAAGTAATTTCTAAAGGAGTTCTATAATAAAATTATAGTTAAATATAATAATTACCCCTAATATAAATATTAAGCTAACTACCTTATAAATTTTATTAAAATTATAAATAGCTTATATATGATAATTAATAATTACTAAATTATCTTTTATAATTCATATTTAATCTAGTATTATTAAATCTATATTAATATTAAGGTTTATTTTATAATTAAAACTATTAAATATTTAAATAAATATATTTATAAAGGGCCGAATAGAATATATTTATAAATATAAAAAATAAATAATTAAATTAAGTTATATATATAAGCTTACTATATTAGCTCCATAGAGGCTATTTAGTAAATATTAGAATTTTTATACTACTAGAAATATCTACTAATAAAACCTTTTCTTATTTATCTACTAAATAAATAATTTATATATTTTAAAAATAGTATAATATTATAATAGATATATAGCTATATAGAGATTTAGTAGTTTAAACTAATAATTTTCTTTATTTATAATATTATTAATTCTTCTAATAACCTATATTTTTATTTAAAATATCTAATCTACTTTATATAGAAGACCTAAATATAAATATAGTAATTATATTAAAAAAATATAATAATTAGCTATATTTACTACTATAATCTAAATTAAGAAGAATAATTCTTTTTATATATATTATTTACTTATATTTTAGACTTAATAAGCTTTAAAGACTTATACTACTATAAAAATATTCTATATTTAATATTTTAAGCTATCTATTTTACTTATAGTTTATTTAAAAATAATAAAGAATAATTTAAAATATTTAATTTTATAATTATTTTTATTTCTAGAAGTTTATTATATTCCCTTTTTATAGTTATATTACTAAACTATAATATTAGTAATCTTTTAGAGCTTTAGTTAAAATATAGCTAGTACTTCTATAATAACTTATATTACTATTTATAGTAGAATATAGAGGGTAGCTATATTTATTTTAAAGTTATAGATAATATCGTCCTTAATTATAGCCTATTTCTAATAGAGAATATATTAACTAAGGGTAGTAAATATCTTTCGGACTTTAATCTACCTACTTATACTATACGTTAGCCAACTATTTATAACTCTGCTAACGTTTTATCTATAGCCAATCTATTTGACGCTATTCAATATGATAACGAGACCAATGACGCTTACAGCCAGTTTAATGAGGGCCAGCGGTCCCGGGCATCTGGAGCACTCAAACACCATTCTCCGGTCTTGACCAGGAATACTCGAGCTAACTTTCGGCGTAGAGTTACCCAGCTGTCTAAGATAAATGGGCTGTCAACATGTCTCACGCCCACTATCAGCACGCTGTGGGCTTCGCCGCTGGAAAACAGTGCTCGGGCCTAAGTCCGCCATCTTGGGGTCTTCAAACAAATAATAATAGCTTGAATTACGTCACAGGCGAGGTTACTCTTGATATACTCAATATGTCAGGTGCTGAAGTACAGATGAGATGGACTTTGTTTTGAGCCTGGAGTCAGCTTGAAGACAGGGGGATCCAGCTTGTCCCGCCGAAACCCGCAGACTGGTGATGAGAACTATCACCCAGAGAGAAAAAAAGTACATATGTCACGCCCCTTGGATCATCAGCCATGTTGAGGTGGCGCAGAGTGCATTGCTAACTTGTTAAGCAGAAAGAAAGGCCGTGAAGGTACTCCGTACCTATGAAAGACTTCTCAGATCAAGCGCCACAAGCACGACCAGGACCAATTTATCTCGAACAGTATGGTCTCTTGATTTTTGAAAATTTTCGGTCATCCCTGGACTCAACGCCTGTTCTTTGCCACGGATCCTAGACGCATCTATAATTGGGCATGGATGTACATACCATAGTGGGCGCCTTTACGGAGTATGTCGATACCTATTTATATGGGCTTGACCAAGACATGTTAATCATCTCAGCTTTGGATCTGCAAACTGCATATCAAGAATAGCTGACCGGATGAGATACCGAAAACTTCCGTCCCGTCCATTTCTCGATCTGTATATGCAACACAGCACAGCTCGAACAAGGCCAGACCTCATAGCGAATCAGCAGAAAAAAAAAACCGGGGGACTATATGGGACTTCTTTCCATCGAAAAAGTGAAAGCAGAGCAACAAGTATCAGCTCCAAACTCGGCTGTAAGATTCTTCAACGGCTGACTGCCTCAGAAAGTCTTACATACGGAAGAGACACTCAACCACCCCCCCCCTCCCCCTCACCCATGTGTTGTTATCCCACCCCAACCGCTGGTCACCATTCACAATTTGTCATTTACTGATAACATATACCCTGCTCGGTAGTATGGATAATAAGACAAACCCGCTGGGGAGGGGGGGATGCAAGACGAAAGCAAATATAGTAAACCAAAACGGGGCATCATTTTTCTATTGGAGCTCCGTTCATATCAGCTAATTGCGAGAGCCAATCTGACGTTTCTTTCATCATGAACCGAGCCATCACTGTTTGCTGTTTATACGGAGTACAGGCCGACCGTTCTTTGGGCCATACATATCCAGAATGCAACGATAGATCAGCCTGGCCTGATCTATCCTCCAGGGCGTGTTATTCCGGGCTGTTCTCTCACTGCCGCAATAATACTGAAGCTCTTGGTACACAAAATACAACTGCGAATAACCGCTTTATACCCCCGCCCTTTGAGCATTTATAGCGCATGAGGGATTTATATATATAAAGGGCAGTCAACGAGACTGTCGAAGAGAGAAAAGAAAGGCGTTGCTCGTAATGCATATAATTGCAGGCACGGCGCGACGGAACCGTGAATTATTACCCCTAGTGGTGATGAACATCACTTGCTCAGCCCATGGTTTTTGGTTCCTTCTGCATTTAAAAGGCCACATTTGATTAGCGATCAGCCGGGTCAAATCCGTTAACCCGCAACTAATCAATAAATAATCACCTGGTTATTTGGTCGCACTGGCACTGCTAATATTACAATATCAACCGTGATATTTACAAGATATAAAGGAGTTGACGATGACAAGGAAACGTGGGGCAGCCCGAGAGGGTCAGACATCGGCTTCAATCATCCGTCTTGTCCTAAGACAAACGAATATGAAAGCCAACTGATCTGATGGAGCGGAGTACTCCTATGCCGAACAATTTCCTTCTCTCATTCATCCATCCCCGCTTGCTTGCTTGCTTGCTTCCCGCAATCTCGCCACTTTCATTATTGATATGTAAATTCGTCTCTGGACAAACCAGGAGTTGTGTTCACATATGCATGAAGTGACGAATATTTCGACCTGGAAAAAGAAGCAAATGGGAGGGAAAGGATTCAAGAAGCAGAGTGATGTAAGACCGAACGGCGTCGTGGCACATGAGATCTTTGATGGGACTGGAAGTTGGGGGCGCTTGGTATCACGAACGGTCCAACAGACATAAAAGAAAAAAATCAAGGCAAAGCCTGACGTACGTTCCCTGGCAGAATCGGACTGCTTGAATGCTGGCTGCTGGACCAACTACTGTTCCCGCCTGCCATGGCTGCTGTCGTGTAAGCCAGCTATCCAACTCAACTGTTGGATGCCTTGCCTGGAGGTCGGTTAGATGTAAGTCATTGGTAAACGGTGTTTTTTACTTTTCCTTTGTGGGTAGATGTTAGATCAAAGGGAGGTAGAACCATGCAGGCATAACTAACTGTTAATCTCTCTGCTGTTATGCCGGAAATGCTGGCGAGGAGGAGCATGATTAACAGGCAATCAGCCGAGCTGCCTTCCAATCGATATAGGCTGGGGGTACTCCGTAGTAAAAACGGCCTGTCTGTAGAGACCCGTCCGCCAGGCTGTGACCTCATCGCACTTCTGCGAGCAAGGCAAGACGTCTTCACCGTCATCTTCGGGCTCTTTTGGGCAGGCTGAAGTGAACATCGGCCGCGGAAATGACATCAGAGCAGACTGGGGCCCCTGTGTGTACGGACTGACGGCAGTACATCGGGGACATTATTAGCATCTGTTTGAACATATCTAGTTCCCATCCGGCTTCTCCAGCAAGGATTGACATTGTCTTCCTTCTTCCATCGTCCTCTGCCCTCTTCTTCTCGCGGCCTTGGGTCAGAATGGGCTTGCTCAGGCTTCGGACCGAGCCCGCTCAACCGGTCAACCGGTCAACACTGGCTACTCTGGCTGCTCTGGCGGCTTATGGTCAAGTCTGACGCTGTCTCTCGAGCAGTAAAGAGGCCCCCATGGCGACAAAGGACGGCCGTATCGTCTGTCAGCACTGTCAATGGCCCTTTTTCCCGTCTCTCGACTGCCGTAGCTCGCTGAACAATCCGTCCTGTCCCTGCAGCAGCAGCTCCTCAACGAGTTTATCGTGCCGAAGCCGAGGTTCCCGCTCCGCCGCCGGCTCGACTGCCTCCCTTCCGCCCTCCGGCTGGCCTCTGTCCTCGCTATATCGTCAGAAGAAAGGCCGTACATAATATTATAATATCTCGTCGAAAAGCTGATAGAGAGCAACTGTCCGTCCTGTGGCTGAGCTGACTAAAGGCCGCCGTCTCTTATCTTGCTGTCTCTCCACCGAAACCGGCTAGAAAAGCAACATTTAGAGCCAAAAAAACGTGATTGAGACAAAAAAAAAAAATAATAACATCTGAAAAAGCTGCTTTGAGACCTTTTTTTCCTTTGACTCATCTTTGCGATCTTGTCTGCGGCTCGATGCTTGCTCTGCTCCGTCCTGGCATCTCGCAGTAACTGCATTGCTGCTCCTCTGTTGACGCAGCGGCAGCTCCATCGACGCTACAAAGCAAGTTAGTTATGGCTGCAAGAGCTCCAGCGCCGCTGCTCCGAGCAGGCTGGCATTTCCCATCGTCTCCAGCTTTGCGCCGCTCGCTATGCACTCTCACGCCGGCGACGAGACTGCAATTGCACCGTGGCGTGCCGCAGCTGACCAGGGCTGCGCAATCTAGCAAGCTGGTTGTTGGCGGTGGCTCTCGCAGAAGCTATGCGGACGCCGTCGTGTCTCCAGCTTCAACAACAGCAGCACCAGCACCAGCACCAGCAGCACCTCCACCGCCGCCTCCTCCTCCTCCTCCGGCACCCAAGCGCAAGAGGTTTAGATTCTTCAGATGGACGTACCGGTTGATAGTGCTCTCTGTCTTGGGAACGACTGGGTGGACGGCCTACAATGTATATCGACACCGGAATCCAGCGGAGCAGGTTTCACCAGATCCAGACAAGAAGACTCTTGTCATTCTAGGTACGTAGACAGACGCCTCTCTCGCTCGAGGTAGCCTGGTATCGTTAAAATCTTTACGGTCTGACTCAATTGCTCCGGATAGGAACCGGATGGGGCTCTGTGTCTCTCCTGAAGAAGCTGGACACTGAAAACTACAATGTCGTTGTCATCTCGCCGCGCAACTTCTTCTTGTTTACTCCCCTTTTGCCATCATGTACCACCGGATTGATAGAGCACCGTTCAATTATGGAGCCTGTCAGGAACATTCTCCGCCATAAGAAAGCTACCGTCAAATACTACGAAGCTAAGGCGACCAAGATCGACTACGAGAACCGAGTCGTGCATATCAGTGACGAGTCAGAGATCAAGGGCGATACCTCCAGTACACAGGTCCCATTCGACCTTCTGGTTGTAGGAGTTGGAGCCCAGAATGCCACTTTTGGTATGCCGTACTATTACACCAGGCCGATGCGTCCGCAGAAAGTCGTCAAGCTAACAGTTGCTGAATTATAGGTATTCCCGGTGTTCAGGAGCATTCCTGCTTCTTGAAAGAAGTTGGTGATGCCCAGAAGATTAGAACCCGCATTATGGACTGTGTTGAGACTGCCATATTCAAAGATCAGACTCAGGACGAGATCAAGCGGCTCCTCCACATGGTCGTCGTGGGTGGTGGTCCAACCGGAGTAGAGTTTGCTGGCGAATTGCAAGATTTCTTCAACGAGGATCTAAAGAAATGGATTCCGGACATCAAGGACAACTTCCAGGTCACCCTGGTTGAAGCTCTTCCAAATGTTAGTAATACACCTTACTTGATGCTCTCAAAATCGGCACTGACGCTTTCTTAGGTCCTCCCTACGTTCTCAAAACAGCTGATTGATTACACCGAGTCCACCTTCAAGGAAGAGGCCATCAAAATCCGGACTGGTACCATGGTTAAGAACGTTACCGACAAGTACATCGAGGCCCAGGTCACTAAACCAGACGGCTCCAAGGAGATTGAAAAGATTCCCTATGGCCTGCTGGTCTGGGCCACTGGTAATGCTGTACGGGATGTAGTCCGTGACCTCATGAACCAGATACCAGCTCAGAAAAAGTCTCGACGTGGTCTGGCAGTCAACGAATACCTCGTTGTGAACGGCACCGAAAACATCTGGGCCGTCGGTGACTGCGCAATCACCAACTATGCCCCAACCGCCCAAGTAGCCAGCCAGGAAGGAGCTTTCTTGGCCAGGCTATTCAACACCATGGCTAAGACAGATCAGATAGAAAAGGAGCTCAGCCATCTGTCTGTCGCCCAATCAGAGGCCAAGGACGACTCAGACCGTAACAAAATTTTAGACGAGATCAGAGCCCTCCAGCAGCAAATGAGACGAATAAAGCAGGTTGGGCCTTTCCAGTATTCTCACCAAGGAAGTCTGGCCTATATCGGCAAGGAGCGTGCTGTAGCCGACATCAGCTGGTTGAGCGGAAACATTGCCAGCGGTGGTACCCTGACGTATCTCTTCTGGCGAAGTGCCTACCTAAGCATGTGCTTTAGCAGTAAGTTTATACACTCATACCTTTCCTTACCGTCTACATATATTGCATATCAGGGGGCGAAATTGATCTAACATTCTCAATCTACAGCACGAAACCGTGTCCTTGTCGTCGTCGACTGGCTCAAAGCCAAACTCTTCGGCCGTGACGTCTCCAGAGAATAAATGCCGCCCTTCCATTCTTCCACCATCATAGATCTACTTTGTTCATTCCCATGACCCAAACCTGAAACCGCATCTCTTACCCACATCAAGCGTGTTATCCCGTGAATCCACCACAAAAGTATAGCCGAAGGCAAGTGCGTTTTGCTAATAATAGTAACTATGGGGACTAGCTCTCCTTTTCGCTTGTATGATATCATTCACTTGTCCCTTGACGGTCAAATCGCTATATATCCATAAAAAACTATGTTTTCTTATCTTCTTGTTTCCTTATCGTTTCGGTGGTGTTTGGGCTTTAATGTATGGGTGGCAGTGCAGGTGGAAGGATATATATATATCTGAAATATCTATTTTCATGACGTTTTAATACCGCTTATTCTCATGGACATGTCACGCACTTCAAACTACCCATTCCTACAGGGGGCTTTCTCGGGAACCGAAAGGAATATATATTGTCTCAAGGAGTTACAGAATGAACAAAAGAAAAGAGTGCATGTAGATTGTTGATGACGCATTGCAGACCCGTAGAACTCCCCTTGAGATGCCACCAGAATACCTCCAAAATCCCAAATGGAGACCCGTTTCGCCATTTCCCGCCTGAACAAAAAAAAAAAAAAAAGGCAAATTTGTACATGGAATACTGAAGATCTATACGGCCATGCAAGATCTAGTCGGGTATGTAAATATAGACAACGAATGGGGGATATAAAAGTCGCAAAAGAAGCAAATGGTATATGAATAAGTGTGAGCAAGGATAGCTGGAATGGTTTATCCCGTGTCAGAAGGCCGCTTAGTGGAAATGTCCACGGCAGCATTGATATGATAAGGGGAACTAGACAAATCGGTAGATTTTATCTAGCTATTGTTAAGGTGTGAGCGAGGGTGGCCTGCCGTAGCCGCCGTACCTGCTTCGATATCTCGAACGCTGTCACCGTAAGACTCTCGGTGGTTGAAGAAGGTCATGGAATTGTATGATGGTTCGATAGGGGTAACCTGCGTTGCCACGGACCATGGGTATTTTGATACCATGGGCTCTGGTTGTGTGGTAGGCGTATTACGGGAATTCCGGTCCAAGGTGGAAGCTGTTGACACCGGCCTATCTCCCACAGAGGGTCGGTCTAGATGGAATATAGATGATGAGTGTGTACTCGTCGCCCTCGGGAAGATCCTGGGCGGCTTGTCGATTTCTGTTATGGTTTCACGGAGCAGAAAATTGCCCCCGCTGCCATCTCGGTGATGCGTAGACAGCCCTTCCAGTTCGTTCTCTGCATCCGTAGAAGGGTTTCCCCTGATATGGAGCTTCGGAGGTCGACTTCCACCTATAGAATTATGCCAGAATTTCCGTATGCTTGACGATGACAGCATTCCTTGGGGATGGGTGTATGGCTTTCCAACGTATGGTTCTGGTATAGATGGCTTTGCAAAAGTTGATTCCGGGTTCCATTCTAAGCCACCCTTTGCGTTGGCAGTTGATTTTGATCCTTTTCCTGCCTGGCTTATTTCTGATTTCCCAGTCCTTGTTGAAGCTTGACGTCGTGTAAATGTTGAACGGTATCGGGACCTTCTGCTTCGCCATCTAACAAACCAGAATAGTGATATTCCAACAATGATAACAGCTTCATAGACTCGTTAGCTCTGCTTGTACTAATTGTTTATCGTCTATAAAATAAGTCTTACCTATTACTGTTGTGATTAAGATTGCAACATGAGGCGGCGGCTGGCCACCAGAAGAATCATCGTCTTGACTAGATTCGAAGGGAGCAATAGAGTCACCCGGTTCTTCGTCAACTCGTTCGAGGGCCATCTTCTCCAATCTTATATGTGGCATAACTTGGGGAATGCGGGTTGGGACCGAACGTATATGTTCGATATGCATATTTATATGGTATCTTGTCCTCCGTCGCTATACTTCTAGAAACCAAAAAGGAGACAAGAATCTCAAAGAATACAATCCAGCCTTTACTTCAGTCTAGACTAGAAGCTTAGGTCTGTTTCGATGATTTATTCCTGGCAGCACACCACCTTTGGGTAATTGGTATCCTTAGTTTTGGATAAATGTCGTTTCCGTCATTCGATTTTCGTTCCTCGAATTCGTAACCCAGCACAAGGGATCAATTAAGAGAAGATATTTTCGATGCCGCGCGTCGACCTTACTCCTCTGGTTTCTGAGGCATGTATGTATAATTTCAATCGAAAGGGGGGCTGTCTTTTCTCTGGCGCAGTCTGAAACAATGGCCCGGTCGTCCAAGCTCCCTTACACTTAGTACCAGAAACGTCGGAGTAAAAACGATAGGCCTCACGAATGAAATAGAGGGTGATGAGAAGGAGGGGTATCAAAGGCTGATAATAACTCAGGCAAGATATAGATCTTCACACCTCTTACCAGAGAAACTGAAGAACGGCCTCAGGACATATCTGGAAACACAGTAAGGTATATAAACGAATTACACTCCGAAAGGGAGCCCGCAAGCGAGGACAATTCGGCAATCGCCCCGACGAGTGAGGATTAGGGATGAGTACAATGCCTGCGAGAGATCGGTGGGGTGACAAGAGTCGTTCGAAGATCTCAAAAGACACAGCATGCCGTTTATGGAGTATACATGATCGAGATGATGATATATACGACGTATAGCAGCCGATGCGAATACCTAAGGGACTCCCGGTGCAGGGGGGGTAATAGGTTGGATATATGTGTAAACACACACATATAGGCTCATGACAAGCATCCTGCTGTCATGCATCTCAACTTCCGGGAAGGCCAACCTTAACCAACAACTGGGACACCATCCACACCACAGGAGGCAGAAAATTCTCTTCGGGGATCCATGCCCTAGGACCGCAGGGGGCGGGAAGGGGAGGGAGGCAGCAAATAGGATGCAAAAGAGAGAAAGAAGAGGACAACGATGACATCGTCAAAGGTGGTTGATAGTCGAGGAGCGTACCAGGTAAGGAAAATGGAAATGAGGAAAAAGCAAAAGCAGTTTATTTCCTCGAAACAGATTTTCGGATCCCCTTGTATCAGCGTGGTGGATTGCCGCCTGTAGCCATCAGCACCCTATTGGAAGAAGGCATTAAAAATAAGGCTTCCAGGCAATCTATTCTTGTCGACGGATGTAAGAGAAAATGAGGGTCTGCCAGGAGGATGGGAGAAGCGGTAAATGTCTAGGACCGCCAGATATCCATAAGAAAAATATTTATAGATGTAGTGATGTATAGATCTTCCGTCCACATGGACGGGCATCTCCAGGAGGATCAAGCGCAGGAGTCGGCCGTCCGCACCACTAAAACCGTACCACACGAACGGATGACACATTTGTTGACTTAGCATGGCGCCAGGGGAGATTCTATGACCTCAAATACTGCATATCATTGCTGGCTGCCCCCCACAGCCTCTTGGGGACCTGCTCGTGGCGAACAGCCATGAATCACGGGCGATTCTCGCGGCATCGAGGCCCGTTTTCCGGTGCTGGGAACGAGTCGGCGATGTTTCCCCCAAAGTTTGGAGCCCCCGAGGGATTGCCCCATCCGATCAAGGGTAAAACCAAGGCGAGAGCCGGTCTATCTGGGGCTTCCCTGCCGAGATAATGTCCGTAATAAATTGATGTCGCCCCTGGAACGGCGGTGCATTTGCACCCGAGGCCAATGTTTCATGTTCGTCAGGGGTTCGTGGCTTTCGCGGCCACACTGATAGGCGAACGTAAGCAAGGATCGGTACAACGATCTCAGATGATGTTGGGCCGATGGGCAGACATATGCCGGTCGATAGATTTGATAAAGTGTTCAAGTTCTGTTTGGGACGATATTCAGGCGTGTACAGATAATTATATACAAGGGGGTAACAGATGCACATACGGAGCATTTGGTCATAGTAGGTAGGCAGTTCCGCCCGTTGCTTGCATTATTTGGCTGATCTACTGCGTATATCTTTGTCGATAACTGGCTTCAATCCAACATCTCGGCCTGGTTCGCTCTCTTGAACGCTCATGTAAGGAAAAACAAGGGAAAGGGAGCCATTGGCAATTTGTCCCGCAACAAGAAAATTATGATGTGCTATCAAAACGAAAAACAAAGGGGAAAAGGGGGGATGGCTACTCAGCACTCCTCAGTTTCTCCTAGAATCTCCCAATCTCACTCGTTTAAATGCGTCTCTTCAGCTCTGGGATTTCGGCTCTCGGATCATGCAATACAACTAGACAATGGCCGGTCAGCAATTCACAGATAATCGAAGAAGAACCGTTTGATCAAGGGAGAGGGTTCTCACCTTGCAAGTCTCCCCGTTATCATCACAAACCATGTCCCTGATCAGCTTAAAGCCGAATCTTTCGTAGATCTGGATATTTGGGACCTGTTTTGAACTCTCCAGGTAGCATTTCATCCCCTCTTCGTCTGCCTGCTGGGTCACAATGTTGACGAGTTGTCTTCCGATACCCTTACCATGCACTTCTGGTCGAACGGCAACCACATTACAGAAGTAGTACCCTCTCTCATCTGTCCAGAGTTCATCCTGGACATTTGCCTGTGCCGCTTTCCAAATCCTGTATCGTTGTACACGCAGGCCCCCGCGACCCATAAAGCGGATGTTGGTCAGGAGTTGACGGAAGCTCAGGAGCCATGTTTGAAAATATGTAAACCAGCTATCCGGTTTCGATCGCGGCTGGGGTAATAGCCACATGGCAACGCCGACGACGCGAGCAGGGGATGAGGAGGACGATTTGTCTCGTAAAAGGCTCGTTCGTTCATGAGGCTCTTGAGGTCCCTTTTGGTCATCAGGCACGTCACTGGCCGACGGGACTTCTCTCGCTACGTAGAAAAGACCATTTTTGATTCCCCATAGGCATCGATTTGTTAGAGAAACATCATTTCTGTCTTTTGAAAACTGCAGCAGATATTTGTCGAAGAGCCACTCAGAAGCTCTCGCGGATGAAGAGGAGAGAGAACAGCCAAACCTCGCCCTCTCGCTGACTCCCCTCTCCGGTCCGCGAAACAATGTACTATGGTCAGCCTGGTCATTTCGTCTTGAGACATTCTTTTTCTCTTGCATATAGCTTTTCGAATATCGGGCTCTTTCTTTCTAAATACTTGGAGTTTATAACGAGGAGAGGATATGGCCTGGCGGTTATATGCATGTATAGCTACTTGGATATTTCCACAACCACACCCACATCTCTCGCAAGTTCGCAGACAGTACGTACCTTTGATACATCAAATACCCAGTTAAAATAGGGGTCATCAGCAAAGCCTGTCTGGACACATTCGATTGCGCCAGGGATGTCTTCTTTGGTCATACGTCTGATTTCCACTAACATTTTGACAGTACGGAGTATGGACTGCCTCGAAATATTATTTAGTTTAAAAAAGCCGATCGAAGAAGTCGGTTTGCCTTATATCAAGTCGGAAAAAATATGTGGACGTTGTGTACTGTGTGCGTACAGCGTTATTAAATGCTGGTGAGGGAAGCTGGAATGTGATAGTAGGGCTGTGGTGATAGGGATGATTAAACTGACGCCTAACACGGCTTCGAATATAAATACGAAAGGGCCAGGCAAAATCGCTGCGAAGCTTGCAAAAGCAAACATCGCCTATCCGTGTTGGCTGCCTTGGCCTTCTTTATAACCAAAGCAAACTAACGGTCTCCACTTGCTTGCTTATCATGCGGAAGGTTGGCGTTCCCTGTCATTATCATTGGCGAATGGTGCCTTTTTGGTTTGTGCAGTCTATCAACCGATAATACGATTATATCAATCCAGACTGCATGTTCCCCGCGGACATGAGATGTTGATATTGAGCGCCAAGTCTGTGCTCGGTGATACGTGGATGATTAGTTGGATATTTAGCTGGTTAACACCTTGCTTCCGACGATTTGAGGCGTCTTGGCGTGGCTGTTGATAGTCTGGAAGCGAGTTTGTGTTTCTCAACAGGTACAACAACCGTTTGATGAGTTTGGATCACTTGGCCCTCATATTGACATGGTGCGAGAGCGGCCGGTAGCTCACAGCTCGTCGGCCAATTTGTATTAGCCGTTCTCCCACGAGATCAGTTTGCCCTGGGAGCTGATGTTAATATCTGTACGGAGTAGCTATTCTGTATCCTAGGAAGAATAAAATGTACCTCTGCACCAGGGACTGTACCTCGAAAATAACCTCCCTGGTCTACTATTGGTTAGCACGCTGGGACTGACCTAACCTTCCCACCGCCTCACTGTTGCTTCCGTTTCGCTTTGAGATATTGGAAGGGTGTGTTGGCTCCCGCAGACGGTGGTCAGAAAGGGGTAGTTAACTTTGGGCACTAAATAGGGCGTGGAGAAGAAAACACAACGGCGAATAGGGTAGAGGAAGACCGTATCGTCCATGGCATGAGGTCCGAATGGAAAGTGGAATCCCATCCCCATCTAAATCCCCTAAAATTTGGCGCGCGCCCTTGACGTCACCTGATTCTAAGCGCTAGATCACGTGGTAAAACTATTACATAACCAAGTGAGCGCGAAATTGAGCTTAAAGTCGTGGAAACTATTGGCTGTCGGGTCGGCTCCAGTGGGGTCAGCCAGACCGGAAATCTATATCGTCAAATAGGCCTGAGAAGTCATATCTCCAGGAGCGCCCGTCACGCAGTCCACAGTTGTCATGCATACGAAGCCACTCCTTCTTTTCACTCTCCCCATGATGGCTATAGAAGGACTGGTGGCTTGGTAAAATGATGACATCTTTGCAGTCGTCATTGCCATCGAAGTTAGCAATCGTCGCCTCCAAGAGGCCTTTCACACCGTGTTGCACTTCGCGCTTACCGAGTCCACCGTTCAATCGATATATCAAGGGGGTCTGGCGATGGCCTCACACTCACCGATGCTGACAAAACTATCTGTCAAAAACTTCACCTTTGCCCACTGTTAGAGTGGGCACATTCCTTATGGTGTAGTGGCAGACTTTGATACTATCACTTCGAGCTCACTAAGAAAAACGCCAGAAGAACCTAAAAAAACGCTGTAGAGCTTGTTAGCCGTCCGTTTTTGATATATATACATATTTTTCGTGCTACAGGGTAAATATCGCATAGGAAATATATATAGAGAGGACTTACTCACTTTGCGATAGGCGATGGTTGCTCTCTGCTGTTTCCAGATGTGAGTTTAGTTGATGATGTTGTTTTTCTTAAGTTCAAAACACAAACGAAGGAGATGAACATAAAGATATGATATCTTGAACGTTAACTAGTTATTTTCTGGATATCAGTTCCATTTGGTGATGTACAATCTATTCTGGACGAATCCAATCCGTCTGTTTACATGCACCCAGCTTTGCCGCAGCTTCGTCAATCTTATCCGACATCCAACCTGAAATGATCCCAGGTTTACGACTGCCCCATCGAACCTCTTTTGACGTACGGCATACTTTGTCACCAAAGGAATACTGGAGACACTCTAGGTCTTTGGTGCAATGTCTTTCGCATTCTGCTGCCGTTTCAACTCCAGCTGCGATATCTCGGGAATCATTATCCCTATCTTCTCCCGTTGCATTGAAACGAGGTTGGGTAAGCTTCTGGAATATATCGCGATGAAGTAAGAGGGCCGAATTACCATTCTAATGCTCTAGTTAGCATTCATTTTTTCAGGTTTGATATTTTTGGTGCAGCTTTACCTCTTCAAACCATCTCTCCTCAAATTCCCATAGCTCTCTAATATCCTCCGAGCCCATGTGGTGATAGGTTATTGGAGGATAGCACCAGGGCAGTTTATTATAACTGGACGAAAAGGGATCAAAATTCCAAGGCGTCGAACCTTGGAGCATCGGCCAGGACCAAAGAAGGCCAACGCCTGCGTCATTTAAAGCCTTCCCAAGAATCTCATCACCCGCCCAGTGCTCACCTGTGAGTGTATCCCATTCCTTTACCAGAGAAGAATGGTACTCGACAACACGTTTCAGAGCCGCTTGGGACAGTACAAAGCCAGATCCTCCGTGGGCAAATATAGTATCTCCAATTTGCATCTGGTTACCAAGATAGTATGGCTTACTCGAGTCGAAGTTCTCGAGCCAGATTACTAAATTCTTCCAGACTATATACGTATCTGCCTCCATGAAGATATACCATTTGGCGTCATCTCGAATGCGGAGAGTTTCGTGCATCATCGGGAGGAACTTCCATTTGTCCAAGATCCAGCCAGGGTTGTTTGGTTTCCCAGCAGGTGTGCTCACGTCGTTCGATGGGTCAGTGTTCGATAGAGTTTCTCTACCCGCAGCCCTGAGGCGCCTATAGAGTTCAAATTCCGGATGCTTATCTTTGATCGCCGCATCGACGTTTCGCAGAACATCATAAATATGACACCCAGCGAGATCCTCCTCATAGTCAGAGAATAAAGTGAAGCGAGGGACGTATCGCAAGGTAGTGTTAAAGTGAACGGGAACTTTTGCTAGTGCTTCGGTTGCACCGGTTTTTAACACAACGTGGACATCTTCTAGACCAGCTATTATCCGAGGTATCTCTTCTGATGGTGAAGATGGAATATTAAGGGCCCCATTATCTTTATAGTATAAAGGATAATTTGACAGGAACAGATAGCCTGCCACAAGAAAGCTAAGAAAAGGAGAAGCGAGATAGATCCATCGGCGCAGAGGTCTATTTCCGCTCTTTGGGGGTACCATGGAGAGGGGGCTGATGTGAACTTGACGTTGCGTTTAAATGAAAGCGGGTAGTCGAGTGCGCATCCTAACTCCTTTTAATGGCCAGACATCACCGAGGGATGTATTTAGCGCCCAGGACCCCTGTTGAGACATACAGTAAAGCCTGGGTATATCCATCGCTCTACGCGCTGTGGTTGCATAACTAACAATAATCCTTGCAAATGGTTGGGTAACTCCAGGTGATATGGCTACTCGACGACAGCGAGACCCCCATCCAGAGATATGGGATAGGCTGGATATCCCTACAGCTGTATGCGCCGTATGTGATAGCTATATTTAACCCTGGGTGTGATGCTCCGCTCTCAAAAAGGGCGCAGCAATCACGGATATATTGCAAGCCGTTGGCCGTGCAGTAATGATGTCCTTCTCCTCTCGCCTCTCCCGTTTCGCCCACAACAACTCCCTTGTCTAATGAAAGCTCGACACAATGCGATCGCTCTGGAGCATTGTAATTCCTTGGATAGTCAGTTACGCTTTGGCCGAATGCCCCTTGGAGGAGCTTCCTTTGCCTGAGCAATATGCTGAGGGAAATTTTTACTATCCAAACGGATCTCCTCAGTGTGTGAGCAAAGGATCTCATTTGAATGTGAGCTGGTCTTCAATCTTTGAAGCGACGAATCTCTATCTGATCCAGGGAGGAGATTTTAATAGCCCCGTTGGAATTGTCTGTAAGTTATTCTCAGCTCCTAACGAGAGCCTAGAGCCACTTACTAACTTGTGCTCGAAGTAAACACGGCATCCACTTGGTATGACTGGACTGTGAACTATTCCGACGCAACAAACCACTCAATTCCGTTTGTCTTCCGCATAGTCAACGCTCAAGGCTCAAGGGAAGCGCAGCAAGGGGGTGGATTCCTCAGCGGCCAGTTCTATATCAATTTCGGCTCGGACCCAATAACATTCATTACAATGTCCCCGACAAGTACTCTGGCAAGCACTACGGGAAGTTCCTCTATATCCTGGACTACATTACCCAGTAATACGAGCGAGGGAGAGCACTCACAAAAAGAAGACGATAAATCACCCAATAAAAATCTTGCCCTAGGGCTGGGTATAGGCTTGGGTGTGCCGTTTTGTTTAACTGCTGGAGCTGTCTTCTTCCTTATACGGCAGAGGGCTAAACAGTCTCCTTTCGTTTCTCAGGGTTATAAAGGCCAACCAAGTATATCACATCCTGACAAGTCATTTGAGCCATTTGGGCCTGAAACAGTGCATCGTGATCCCCAAGAGTTATATGCGGATGGCAGATGGAGTAGACAAGGCCTTTCTCGTCAACCCCAGAATCGGCATGAGCTAGGATAAAGTCTAGTAAATATTGTATATGGTTAATCGTCGAACCAAATCTATTGACTAAAAAAGTGACATAATAACTCCGTAGTAGATAGCTAATTAATTATAACGATATTGAACGCAACTTTTAAGTTCATCTTTTTGCTCTTAGTTATAACTACATAGTTATATAGACCGGATCTTTTATTTAACAGGGCCTCATCTTTTGCTAACTTTCTTGAAGTTGCACTCATCCTAAAACAACCTTTCTAAGGTAAAATAAGCTATAAACTTTGATCGAGCCTCATAACAGAATTGAAACCTACTCTAAATGAAGACACACCTATATGCTCATAGACAACAACTCCTAAGTTTACAGTTACTTACCTACACTAGTCTCTGACGAAACTTTACTCTCGCTAGCTACCACATTATCGTGCTTAATCAATCGTGAGAGACTGCAGACTTGTATTCGTGGCAATGGTAGCATAGCACCCCAAATGTAATAATTGCTTGCTTTAATTCAGATTATGGGTATTTCGAAGAGCCACGGTCTAAATAGGCTCGCCACTTCTTATATTGTAATATAAATCGGTCCTGGTATCTTGTACTGGAGCTCCTCGCCTTTAAGCAACAGGCGACGGTACACCTGGCACAGAACAATAAAACTCATCGCTCATAAAAATCGTCAATATAGACAAATATAAATACAAAGAGATGAAATGAAATTTATGCATTCCGCCCTGGCAATGGTGGAACATTGGCCAAGCATTCCCTAGGGATATCCATACTACGGTGGACTCTTCCACCAGGAGTCAGCGGTATATCGACCCGCCCGCTCCCTCGTACATTATCATCGTATTGTCCCTCTCGCGCATGCGCGAGAGCAAAATAGTCAACAATTTTGTTGTTCCCTGACTCGCCGGAACAGATGGTTGAATATTCAGGCGGTGGGCTTAGAATAGGAGGTGGTGGAGGGGGAACAGACTCGAATGGTGGAGGGTTAAACGATGGAGCCCTCAAAAAGTGGACGGGTCGGGTTGGTGGATCATTGTAGTGGTTATTCTCGTCTTGATGTTCGTCGCTTTGAGAAGTATCATTTGACTCGCTAGTAGTTGTAGGGGATGGCACGCCTTGGTCTGTAAATGAAGGCGGCAAGGAGAGCGTAGGGTTCAGGTTCACGTCATGCGACAAAGCTACGGCATCTGGGCAGCCGCACTCATATTCATCTGTGTAGTAGGATGACGGTGAGTTGTAGGAAGGCACATAGATATTTGAAGCATTCGCTTTGCAAGACGTTATACAAAGTGGCGAGTCAATAGAGATGTCGAACTGGCGCCTTCTTTGAGGTGACCCATTATCCCATTTTGATAGGCGGAAGACGATCTGTATTTATTGATAAGTCAGCAATTGTATCTCTAGACGTAAGAGGTCTTGGCTTACCTTAACGGAGTGAGATATTTCAATGCTCGAATATTGCACGTCGCAATGAAGTTTCATTGAGGGGTCTGTCATTTTCTTCATAGCTGGGCAGCTCGGTAATTGTACCTCGCACTCTATCTCTGTTGTGCCAGGGCTGAAACCATCGTGACTGATGTTTCCTAAGAAATTATGCGCACCGCTTGCTAGATCTTCGCCGTTGGATGCAATTTGCTCGCCTCCCCCAGAGAGACGCATTGTGCTTCCCGAATAGATACTTTTGCTGGGCATACCAGCTCTCTTCTCAAAGAGTAGTAGCATCTTATCACTAGCCACGCGGTGAGCTTTTCTATTATGAGCCCACAGTTGAACCTTCTCCGTTATGAAAACACTTATACGGTGGCAGCCAACTTTAGCAAATGGCGTAAACTTGATAGCTACTGGTATCTTAGAACCCAAGGGGAATGACTTCCCCGTTATAACGACATCGTAGTGTAGCTTGTTATCCCACGTTCTGCTGATTGCAATGGGTTCAACATGCTCTAAACAGTCATCGCCTGGAGTGCGGATGAGGGGTATTTCCTTGATGCCAATAAGATTCGGGCGAAAGGCGCCAGCGCGCTCGACCACAGCCTCAAGCTCGTATTTTACCGATGCGTGATCCCATTTGACAGTTTCCGGGTATCGATGCTCCATCGGTATCTCAAAGTTGTACATATATTCGCCTGGTGGGAACGTCTTATAACCTTTCTGGCCCATAATATCCGATATCAAATTTGTATCACCCTTTCCAAAGCTATTCGACCGCGAGTGGCGTAGCGAAAGTCTTTTGAGCTCCTTTGGCAGTGACGAAGATGATTCCAACAAACCGGATATATCGACGACAGGGCTATTTTCAGACCCTTTCTCCCTCGGGCTAGTGAATTTGATATGATTTGCACCATAGCCCTTCCTAACAGCGCGAGAATGAGCATCGAAGAAAGCCCAATTGAGGCTGATGACGGTCTCTGTATCTCTTGTTCTTTTCCTGTTCCCGGGAATACCTGCATTCAGCTTAGTTAAACACACTTCTATATCTACCTTATATTTTGGTACAAATTCGTATCACATACCTTCGGGCCATAGTGTCCTAGCTATACCCTTGAAGCCGAGGCTTATCCTCTTGATTTTGGTAGGCTTTGTGATTTTGAGATGTAACGAGCCTGTAAGCACACGCTTCTTGTCTGAAGACACCCTTTTATCTACTCGTTCGAGGTAGAGGACCGGTTCAGCAAGCCCGATTAAGACGACAATACCATTTCCAGACGCTACTATACGCTCATGAGGGAATGATGGAAGGACAGAGTTTGGTACCGGGACTGAGTTGCTTTCCGACGATTTCAAGGAGGACGAACGCGAGAAAGTCTCTCTCCGAGGGGTATCTGTGAGCTGTTTGGCATGCTCTTCGAACGTACGTTCCACTTCGGGAGGGCCCGCGATTGTGTTGCTGACGATGCGAGTAGGCGACCAGTGATCACCCAGGGACCTACTGCTGGTAGAGGAGCACCGACTAGGACTTGTATCTCTGGAGCTCTCCTTCATTATCAAGGAACGGCGAACGAATCGCTTTCCATGGTGTAGGTAGGACGCCAGTTTGACGGTTTGTAGTGTTGTCGTATCGTGTCGTTGGTTTTGTTGTTTATAATATTCGCCGCAGGGGTAGCTCTAGATTGGCGTTTATTGCGGCGAAGAAATCTCGGAGGTACCTCGGTTTGTCAGGGCCAATTGAGTGTTATACCGTGCTTCGAGCCGAACAAACAAGCAACACCTCTTCCCGTAAATCAACAAGTACGCCGAAACAAACTCCAAGAGCTATGTACAGCAATGAGAGAAACGGATGCGCCTCTATGTAGGAGAAAAAAATGAGGAAGATGATGAAGTAACAAGGGTGGGGAGGCGTTGTTTTAGGCACACTATATAAAGGAAGTGTATTAGCAGTACCGCCACCAAGCGCTGTCACAAGACACTAAGCTTGTCCTTGAATTCGACCCTTCTACGGAAGACAAGGAGAGGTGACAAACGAGTGGAACCTTCTTAGACGGCGATGAACCGTTTAATCTCTAGATGCAACCATGGAACAGGGGGCTGTCGACCGTATTCTGCAGAGCCCAGCTGTTCCAAATGACGGGATTCTAGATCATGTAAATAAAGAATGACAAGAAATTGGAGGCAACTTTCGGACCACAAAAAGGCGATAGAAAATGCCTGTTATTTTATCTTTCCCTGTGAACGGAGGTGAGCAAAATATAAAGAGTCAGGTTCTGACAAGGATTCGGGCCAATTAACGCTGAGAACTACACGCGAAGGGGCTCCAGCGTCATCGTGCAGTCGGGCAGCCGTCTTCTTGGGTCTCTTTTATTATGCTCTGCCTCTTGTCTGTGGGGACACCAGCAAGGAAGCTCTGTTTGTTGACGAAGCCCTTAAGATTTGTCAACAAAGTGAGACCTGGCTCCTCCGCGGACAATAATAATAATGTAAGTTTGGACCGCGTTCTGTTCGAGCTGCAAGGTCTCACGTTAGCTATCAGTGCTGTCGGTTGGAAGAAATGGCACGAACTTGACTGGCTGGAGTTTGAATGCCGGCATCAATCATTTTGCATGACCTGGCCTGAGGGATTCCATGGTTTCATCCTCCTTTTCTCCGGACCCTGCACGCTCGCTCCCCAGATTACACTTGCGTGGCATCTCGTTGCAGGATGCAGAATTTATAAAGGCTGTCAAGCTGTCAAGCTGTCGACCTGCATTTCTTTCTCGCGACGTTGAAAAAGGGACGAAATGGAGAGGGAGCGGTCCCGTGATGCTCCTGATTAGGCAACATTCAACATCTTCTCTCGAAATGATATGGATCGGTTTTTTTTATTTCATTATTATTGATGAATGGATTAACTATATTGAATACAGCCACAGGAGACAGCTTTTTTCCGTTACAGAGTACTCGTGATGATCTTTTTTTGTCACAAATACAAGGGCTGCATGATATTCTCCTCCTTGATACTCGCCAATTTACCCGTCCTGCTAGTTCTCGACCTGTGAGTCACATAATGAAAAACGGTCATCAGGCATCCATAAGTTTTGCAAATTGAATACATCTGCACAATTCAAGAGGAGAAAAGATCACAAAAAAAGACAAAAACGGTAAAGAAACAGCATAGGGAATTGAATACGTTACATCCCTGTACCTAGCCGGATCTCTCGGGGTTGTCATGTCTGTCACAACCGTGGCAAGGGAGCAGGGGCAAGGGGAGCGAACGGGACGGCATGAATGAAAAACTGTTGATTGGTTTCTCATTTGGATAACAGACTGTAGGTATATGGATGTGCTTGCTTACGAACCTCGTAGCGTGGCTCATCATCGCTAGCTGCGACGTTTCGACCTGCCTGGCGGCCGTCCTCGGTGAGGACGTTGGTGATAATACCGGGAGTGTCGGGGGTATAGCAGTCACGACCTGTGGATGAATGACCATGGTATCAGGCTGTAAGCAGGATTTGCATTCGGCGAAGTTCGGAATATGCAGGTAAGTGCATCATGGCACCCTGTCTGGTCGACTTACCTCCGACTGGACGATAGACGATTTTCTGGCCGATATTGAACCGAGGCATATTGACTGTTGTATCTAGGATCTATATCTAATGGGTAATAATAGATCGACGAGAATGTTCGCTTAAAGGGCGCTTAAACAGCTGTGGGTTGATTCCTTTTGTTTATTTTTATTTATTTATTTTTATATTGTTGATATAATACATGGAAGGCATGTTTATTCATGTATGGAGAACTGTGGCCACATCACCTCCGTATGTTAGTCACACCAACCAGAACACTGTCCGAGCAGCTATTTACTGAAACCACGAGTCGTCTAGTTCCGTTGTCTCAGCAGTATTCATCATCAAGTCATCAGCGTCGCCGCCAAAGTCTCCAGACCCGACGAATAAATCATCAAAATTCGATTCAGGCACGTCGTCCATCACTACATCACGCCGGGGATTCTCTGTCGTAGCATTATTCCTGTTCTCTGCAGTATTCTGGTTGTTCTGTTGAGTGCCGGACTGGCCGTTAGCTTGGCCATTGGGCTGCCCGGTTGACGGCAGAAGGTCCAAGATAGCCTCGTCACCGGCGTTGGCGTAAGTTTCTAATCCTGGGAGAAGCGAACCTATTGAGCCTGAGGCATGACTGATACTACTTTGAGTGTGCGCCATGGGCTCGGCAGTGATAGACTGTACATTGGTCGACGTGTCGGGGATGGTAGGGTCTGGTGAACCTTCGGTTGCAACGGCGGGAGGTTGAGCTCCTTGTGTGGTTGTCGTTAATGCCACCTGCACCGGTGCTGTGGTGACAGATGGTGATGTTGTAGTGGGATTCATAACTGGTATTGCAGGTGATGATGCTGCAGGCTGTGCCTGTGCTTGTGTGTCTGCTGGCCGTGTGACGGGAGCGGGAGCGGATGTGGAAGTCAGAGTCGGCGACTGTGTGGTCGGTTGCAGAGGCCCATCGATGACTGGTGCATTCGTTGGCTGGGCCACTGATGGAGCTGTTGACGGAATAGGCGCTGCATCTGTAATATCGGACGTAGCTGGGATGGCTGCTGGAGCATCCGCTTCCCCTTGTTGAGCTCTGTTAAGCTCCGCCTTCTTCTCACGGATATCCTGGTAGTCTATCTCCAGTAGAGCTTTGGCAAGAAACTAACCAAAGCGGACTATTAGAATTGATTTATGACACAAGGGGCCGAATTGGAGAGAAAGTGGGTTGGGGAGAGGTACGATTTCCTGTTGCAGCCGGTCAAGAGCCCGCTGGAACTGCTCGTGCGCTGCCGGAATATGACGCTTCAGCTCGTTTGGGTAACGCTCTGGATTACGGAACCAACGCCCTGTAGCCACCATCTAGACGGAGTTAGCTCTATGTTTCAGTTCTTCTCGGATGTGGGTGTGTGTCTTGAAGATTACCGTCTTGTTGGCCATGGCCGTCATCTCGACCAGGGCCTCCTCACACGACTGTCTGCGGGCCACCATCTTGAGACTTGCCCACCAAACTACAGTGTTTGTGTCTTCTGCGAGCTCGTCTGTCCTTCCCGAGATGGCTGGTGTCTGCTAGGCGGTATAAGAATCGTGCGAAAAATTCCTCCCCTTGTGCCGGACGAAGCTAGGGAGAAGCTTTGATAATGCTGGGATGGAGCTCCCGGGTTTGCTGGTTCCGGTGGGGATAGTAGGTAACGACGACGGTTCGCAGGAGGTGTCAACAACGGATATCTCAGCAAAGACGATCGATGCCACAGAGCGGTATCCTGGAGCTGTTGTTCATCGAGCAGACGCTGCAGAGGGAAAATGGGGATCGACGACGTCAACTTTTGCTGTCTCTTGGACGTCGCCGTGAACCAGCGAAAAGCGTGTCACATGACCATCTCGGGTGCCTGTCAAAACATGTCACTGTGTCCCCCCATTCTTTCAGGCCCTGGCACGTCGTTCGTTCAGCCAGTGAAAAAGCAGCCCATAGGGGCCATGGCGAGCAGAAACAGAAAAAGGCCGAAGCTGGAGGAGTAAAAGAAGCTGCCGCGGCGGGAGAAGGGCGGAAGGCTGCAGAGAGAGAGAGAGAGAGAGACGGAGAGGAACTACTTACAAGTATTGGAAGTGTAAGTAAGCAACTCCGCAAGCGGTAGCAAGAAGCGTGTTGGCGCTCTGCTTAGTCAACCGTCGAACAGCGCAGAGGCCGCCTTTTATTTCTTCTCCGTCAACTTCAACTTCAACTTCAACTTCTCTTATTCTCCTCCTCCTCCTCTTTCTCCCGCACCACGAAGCGCTCTCTGCCTCTTCATCTCCTTCTTCTCTCTTCCTCTCTCTTCTCCTTGCTTTTTCTTTACCCGCCCTGTCTCCTTGTTCCTCCGTGTTTCCGTGTTTCCTAGCTGCGTGTTGTCCTTCTGTAGCTTCGTCTCCTACTTCTTTCTCTCAGTCCTGCTATCTCTCTTAACTCTCTCTTCTCTTCTCTTCTCTTTGCTCTCTCTGGGCTCTCTCTACATCTCTCTATCTCCTCGGCCCGTCTTCTAGCAGGCTCGAGTCATTGCCATTGAACCGGTTCTTCTTGTCTGTCTATTTTTTTCCACTCGCCCCGTCCATCTCTCCTCCCGCCCGCTAGATCAGATCAATTTTAAGCAGAAAAGAAAAGAAAAAGCAGACAGGGAAGCAAAAAAGAAAAGGACCCCAGAAAAGACCGTCGTTTTGTGCGTATTATCTGCCTTCTTTTCTCGTCCTTCTGCATCAAAAAAGAGTCCAATAACTAAGATATTTCTCTTCTCCTTTCCCCAGTGTGGCCGTTCGATGCACTTGAGGGTCCTTCCAGAGTAACAGGGGTTATTTGTTCTGCTTGTCTCTTCTCCCGTCTTTCTCACTCTTTTATTTGGAGACCTCACTCTCTCTCGGCCTCAAACGCAAAGAGTAGCTAGCTAGCTCCAGCCTCATCTTCAACCGCCTGCCTTTTCCCACACACACCAAACACAAAAACCACACACCACAAACATCCAACCTAAACACCAAAAAAAAAAAAAAAAAAACTAACACATACAGCTCGTCGACCCATCTCGTAGTCTTCCAGCCCGGCACACTCGTCCAGAGGTTCCTTCGATCTCTTCGACTTCGTCCAGCTTCGCCATTTCGTCTTTGCAATGGCTGACAACGCCCCACCAGCGACTTCAACTTCGCTTCCTCCCCCTCCCCATCAGTCATCTGCCGGTGCTCCAGGCCAGCAGCAGCAGCAACAGCAGGGACAGCAACAGCAGTTCGACAACTCCCAGGGAAATGGACAGACAAACCCGTCACACATGCCACCGCCACCGCTGCCGCCGGTTGTCATTCCGCAAAACACCAATCCGATTCCGACGGCAATCACCTCGCCCATGTCAGGCAACATGATGTCGCCCACCGCGGCTGGCGGTTATGTGCGTCGTTCTGCTCCGGAGCCCAACAAGCGAGCTCTTTATGTTGGTGGCCTTGATCCTCGCGTCACAGAAGACATCTTGAAACAGATTTTTGAGACCACTGGCCATGTCCAGAGTGTTAAGATCATCCCCGATAAGAATGTGAGTCAACACCTTTTACTACTTTACCTCTCAGATCTATATCTCTTCTTTACATATGTCTTATATGTTTATCTCTATCTTATCACTTCTGCTCTTCTTCTAGTTATTGTTTGTTTACTTGTTTATAAACTTTTGCTATCTTTCTAATTCACTTTCCACTAACCTAGACACCCGCACAGTTCCAGAGCAAAGGCCTGAACTATGGTTTCATAGAATATGATGACCCTGGTGCGGCAGAGCGTGCGATGCAGACTCTTAATGGCCGCCGTGTTCATCAATCAGTATGTGTTTATCTATTCCTCCTGAAGTCGGTTAATTAGCCCTGGGGCTAAATATCGGTTATAGGAAATCCGCGTTAATTGGGCTTATCAGTCCAACACCGCTTCCAAAGAAGACACCTCAAGCCACTTCCACATCTTTGTCGGTGACCTAAGCAACGAAGTCAATGATGAGGTTCTCCTTCAGGCTTTCTCTGCCTGTGGTTCAGTCTCCGAGGCTCGTGTAATGTGGGACATGAAGACTGGTCGATCTCGTGGCTACGGGTTCGTTGCTTTCCGTGAAAGAGCTGATGCTGAAAAGGCCCTCAGTTCCATGGATGGCGAGTGGCTTGGTTCTCGTGCTATCCGCTGCAACTGGGCCAACCAAAAGGGCCAACCTTCCATCTCCCAACAACAAGCCATGGCTGCCATGGGCATGACGCCTACTACTCCGTTTGGCCACCACCATTTCCCTACCCACGGCGTCCAGAGCTACGACATGGTTGTCCAGCAGACTCCCCAATGGCAGACCACCTGTTACGTCGGAAACCTCACCCCCTATACTACCCAGAACGACCTCATCCCATTGTTCCAGAACTTCGGTTACGTTGTTGAGACCCGCTTCCAGGCCGACCGTGGCTTCGCTTTCGTGAAGATGGATACCCACGAGAATGCTGCCATGGCCATCTGCCAGCTCAACGGCTACAACGTCAACGGCCGTCCTCTCAAGTGTAGCGTATGTTGACTCCGATATCTTTTCTCCTTTCTTCCTGCTCTTCTTTAACTTTCATCCCGCCGTACTAACCTTGTGGGTCTCCCGTCTTCAGTGGGGTAAGGACCGTCCGCCAACCGGCCAATTTGACGCATATTCGCCTCAGCAGAGTGGAAACCCGGCCTTCAACTCTGGTACTTCGCCATACTTCCCTCAATATGGCGGCCCGGGTGGCCCAATGACTCCTCAAGGTAAACCTTTACCCTAAAATTGCCACCCGTATCCCTGCCCCCTTTGGGCTCTGCTAGTCGCCTGTTGTGCGACTTAATCCCCTTTATTGAGAGCAAAGCACGCTAATTCGTCACACAGGTGGAATGCCACCAGCCCAGGGCTACCCTCAAGTCCAAGTTCCTGTGCAGGGAGGTCCAGGGGGCCCAGGAGGCCCTGGAGGGCCTGGTGCCGCCTCTGCCGGCTACGGCCGTGGCCAGTCCAACCCTCCTTCTGCCGGATGGGCTCAACAACCTAACAACGGCGTTGGTGTTGGCGGTGCTGGTGGAAACTTTGGTAACGGTTTCGGTGGTTATCAGACTTAAAGCTGTTGCTCCTACTATTGTCCCTTTGCTTCCTACCGACCCGCACACCCTCACCATGCCTCGATGCATTGCATACCACACAGACCCGACCTATCCTGCATCCGATTTCTGATCATTATTACGATTATCATCATTCTTGAGCGTAACTTCTTGGTTTGGTTATCGGGCAGCTCTGTTATTCTTTCTTTCGATTGGTTTATCTTCTTTCCACCTTCTTTTTTTACCTTTCTGTTAAAACCTTTCTTTCTTATTCACTGACTGACTGCCTGGCTTGGATCTTCCTGTTTCGACTTTTGGTCTATTGTCTGATTTACCCATTCTCCTTGTCTTCCTTTATCAACTCTCTTCTTCACCTCTCTTTTATCAGCTTCTTCTCCTTTGCATCCACGTTCGATTCTTCCCAAATTGCCATTGGTATTCATGCTCAAAGTAAGGTTTTTTTATTTCTTGCTGGGGTTTTTTTCATTCCATATTCACTTCACGTCTTCTATCCATGCCTGCAGCTGGCTTCCCCCTGTGTTTTATCCATCTCCTGTCTGTGTGTCTCCTGAAATGAAACCCTCGGTCCCTAGCTACTAATCAACGAATACCCCTTTGCCCCAATATCCATCCCTATTTGGTTTTCCCTCACCGTATGCACCTGTCTTCTGCGTTTTACCCTCCCCACCCTTTTTCTTGTTGGCCTTATTTCTTAGCGCTCTCATTCCGTTGGTCTTGAACTTCACCTGTCTTCCCTTTATGATGACTGAGACCTTTTTTTACCACTGATGTCTCCTTTTCTCTTTCTCCCTCTGTCGTTTTTTGCCATATTGAATCTCCTCTCCCGCCATTGAACAATCCTAACCAACAGCGGTTGATGCCTGAAGTTGAACTGAAAAAAAAGAGTTTAAACCCCCTGGCTCATTGCTTACCCTGTCGTTTTTCTTCCGGTCAAACAGCCTGATCATGATTCTCAGGTCTATCCATCTTTTTCTTTTTCTCAACCTTTCTCTCTTCTTCTTCTGCCCTGTGCTTTTCTTAGCTTTTACTTCTCGACTTCGATTTGTCCTCTTATATCTATTCGTCACAGTTTGAATTGACTTGATTCCTTGGGGTTTTCTGCTCGTTCATTTATTATCCCTCCATTCATACAGTCATATGGATGCGTGGGGATCTTATCCATCTTCTACCCGCTCCTATCTATCTATCTATTTCCACTTCATCAGGTGAGAATGTGAAGCAAAAACGAGTCTCTTTCATTAGCGGTCATCAGTTTTACTTATGATACCCCCTTTCCTTCCCCGTCCCCTTTTCGAGGACGCTAATGATCGTGATGACTTGATGACTATCATATGGTATGATAAAAATGTGCATCCTTCCCAGCAAGCAGAGATCTTTGAAGCATTGTCTCCTTTGGGCTATCTACTTACTATAACTACGTTGTTCTGTTCCTGGGCTCCGTAAATACAGATTGATAGTGCCAGATGTAGCACCATCCTTCCTCGGCTATGCATTGTGTATATATATACTGCCTAATGGCAAGACCCGGCGGGCCCAGTCTATCATTCAGCCATTCTCGTCTGCCATACCAGATATTTACATGTCCACCGGCTACTCCGCTTCTAACCCGTAGTAGATGCGTGCTTAGATTTCTATCCATCCGTCTGTCTTCTTTCAAGGTCAACTATCAAAATAAAATAAAAAACAAGCAACGTTGCCAAGCCTTGCCATCGTCCTCCCCACCAAACTCAATTACATCGAACTAACTAAAGCAAAGACAGATTTCGCCAGCGAAAGACGACGACGTGCATTCGACACCGCGCTACGGCCCTCTAGATACCTCCCAATTCACCAACAGCCTGCTTACTACCTCTATAGACGTGTTGCCCTTACGCTTGCTCCCTTTCATGGGAGATGGGAACGCAGAGACGCGACTCGACCGTGCTGCCGGGCCACGACTAGGGGGGAGCTTTGCGCCAGCCGACCCTCCATATCACAAGAGAAACAGTACCGGTAGTACAGGACTGCCGAGCTTGCTGCCATCGAGGTTTACTTTCTTGCGCATGAATTCCGCGAACGTCACGAAAAATACACATGGCAAGGCCGAGGGCGAAGAGGAAGCAGACGGGGACGAGATCGGTGGTGGCCTTGATATCATGCGGACAACAGGACAGCAGGCCGGAGGGCAGAGGTTAAAGGTGCCAGACAGAGCTATTGCCAGTGCCCTGAACCAGCAAAGAAAGAAGACGCGGAGAAGAAAAGGCTCGTTGAGGAAGACGGCTTTACTTGGGACTGGAATGTTGCGGATGGAAGGGAAGGAGAGGTTTGCTGGTGGCGGTACAACATTGAAGCGAGCAACGGGAATATTTCTCGACCAGTACGATGGGCCGGCGGAGATAGAGGAGTATAAGAGCAGAGAGAAAGGGGAGCTTGAAAAGGATGGGGAAAGAAGTCGTGAAGCTGCCTCTGTTGTCACGAACGACAGCAAGAAGTTATCTCGGCTTCAACGACAGCTCTCAGCGTCATTAGACGATGGCGAGTCTACTCCCCGGCGATTTAGTCATTCGAGTACGCTTGCCGCGGATCACGAAAGTCCCTCCTCTGCCTCTCCTTCCTCTTGGAACCAGAACCAGTGGAAGCAACAACAGCATGGACAGCAATTGCAGCACACGCCGACAAACAGTGGCTCCTTCTCGAATGCCGCGCAAGTAGGACAATCAAGTGCAGCAAACTCCGTCCAAGATGATGGCACAACGGATGATGAAGACGGACTCTCGCTACCGCGACTGAATACCTCGAACCTCTCTCGTCTGTCGAGCAAAACTAGCAACAGCAGCATATCGGCCTCTCCGGTGCTTCCTCCTCGACGTATGCCGCTATCAGCTCTACAAACGGCTGCTTCATCTAGTTCAGACTCGTTCTTCAAACATTCCAGCACCATGGCGCAGATTTCACGCTCCTCTTCTCAGCGTATCCGATCACCACTAGCTACTTCAAACACTGCCGAAATCACCAGCCCCTCGGAGGTATGGGATTACTCTGAGACCGAGTGGTGGGGATGGATTATACTGATAGTCACCTGGCTGGTATTTGTCGTCGGTATGGGCAGCTGTCTTGGGGTATGGAGCTGGGCGTGGGATGTTGGAGAGACTCCCTATGCACCACCAGAGCTGGAGGATGATGCCACCCTTCCAATTGTAGGGTATTACCCTGCCTTGATCGTCCTGACAGCTGTTATGGCTTGGGTTTGGGTGGTAGTTGCTTGGGTGGGCATGAAGTATTTCCGACATGCAAATATTTCAGGGGACGATACATGAGCATTAGCTGCAGGCACTACATCACCCTGTATACCCTTCCTTGGCGCATATCCATGCCATGATTATCTTATCTTTTCTTTTATATTGATGAGCATTTTTCTAACGGTATTGGGACATGGACGGTTGGCTGCATTGGTTGTTAAATGTGGAAAACTGGATATGACATCCACGAATTGACTTTATATCGATCTATATACCCTAGGAGTTGCTGGAGAAGGGAAGTGATAATATATAAGAATGAAAAATAAAAAGAAACCAGATCTTCAACAGTCGCCATAAAATGAGAACAACATGGGTATCCAAACTAGAGTAATATCATACCTCGATAAACGAAATACGATCCCGAAGGAAGAGAGCGGAACGACGGGATATCAACTATTCAATGGAGCATAATTTTCAAAATGACTGACTAAGAAGGGAGAGCGACCCCATTATTATTCCGATGCATCTCTAGGGTTAGGCTGTCTATGTCCCTCCTAGCCCCGCAAGCAGTTATAACAGTATTTGCCGTTCCATTAGGTCTAGAAACACCTTCGCCTTCAGGAGCAACGGTGGTTCCGGGAGCTTTGCTTACAAGTCCCTTCGAGACTGCGAACCCGGAAGATCTGTCGTGATTTGGATCCCCGTCATAAAATTCGTCTATGATAGGATGAATGAGTACATTTTGTTTGTGGATGGTGAGAATAGAATTTGTCGGGACAGTAACCCAGTTATCTATAATCCAACATGGTCAGAATTGATAATGCCATCTCATGAAAAAGGGGCATAGACTTACGCCTTTCGAATGTGAGCGGTTCACTGGCTACTAGGACAATGTCGGCTCCCTTGTCATGTCTCTCCATCTTAAAATCACCTTTGACTTTGCCTTCTTTCCATTTGGTGCCTGATGAAAAGTACAAGCTAGCAGCTTCGTCTGTTTTGCTGCTCACATAACGGGTGCAAATAACAGAGTGTCCATCTGTTACCGCAAAGTTGAGGAGACTTCTCACCTCAAGATCGGTCATGGCATATTCCTTGGGAATGGCAGCGATAAATTCGTTGATTTTCCGGATTGTTTTGGTCATCACGCCTCTCAACAATTCAGGACCAAATCCTCCCTCTGGCGCTGAGCTGGGGTCAACTCCTTCCTTTTCCATCAAATCCAGGAAGAGAGCAAATGCCCATTCGCTGTCAGTTCCTCCTTTTACGCCCAGATACCACTTGTTAGCCAATGAGTCGCCAAGGGGCCGTTTTATATGGTACCATCCTCCAAGATTTCCATTGTGCATCCACATCAGAGTATTGTGCTGGAATGGATGACAGTTGTTTTCTGCTAAAGACCCCTCGGTTGTTGCTCGTACATGTGCAAACACGAGTGATGAGCATGTCTTGGATGCGATCCGTTCAAGGTTGTCACAATTCCAGGCGGGAAGGGTCGAAGTGAATATGCAAGGTTCCGGTCCAAGTTCTGGAGAAGTATAGAATCCAACACCGAATCCATCACCATTTACCGGTCGCCGTGTGTCCTAGAAAGGCACTTGTTAGATATACCATGTTATCTTGCCGTTGGGTAGTAGCATCTCCGATTAAGTTGGGAATGGGAGGAAGATCAGGCTCACTAATCTCAATCGGCAGTCATAAGATTGCGTTAGAATAGAGTGACTGGGCTCGGTTATCAATTTGCTTAGTAGGATGTCATTTCTCCCCTTGTATACCTATCAATTCCGGGTACCATTAGCATTAGTTGGAAACTGACCGCTATTTTTCGGGACCTATGAGCAAACCAGTTGCCATACCAGGAATCGACACATCTTCTTATGACAATATCAATAACCATCAGGCTAATAGCAAGACAGGTCCAAAAATGTAGTAGTAGCGAGGAGAGGAATTAGAGCTTCGTTTCTCGATCGAGGTCTCCGCAGTGGATGCTAAACGAAGCAGGGGTGACAGGTCTCGACGATTAACTTCGACCAGCTGGTAGATACGGCAGCCGACGCTTGTTTTGTGAGAAGCAAGCTCGACCAAAAGCGAGCGAGGCCTGTGTATTTATATCTAGAGAAATGGAGCTTGGGAAGCAATTCAAAACGGTTTCATGTTTGACGTTTCGACTTTCTTTTTGCCCGTCAAAAAGATAAGAAGGGATGTCGTAATAAGCAAGCAGAATCACGTGTAATCGAGCTCGATAACTAGCTGAGTCATAAATTACTAATCATAAAACAGCATGGCTCATTACGCTTTTGGGCATCATTTATATTTAGAGCAGTGTATTCTGATATCTAGGGGATTGCTATGGAGGTAGCTAGGTGGCCGATGTTGGAGCATTCATAATAAAAAGCTATCCATATCATTCCCACTTCTGTTCCTGCCATACAAAGCTCGTCGTGTAACAACCCCTTTTCTATTTGCCAAATCGCAAATCATATGTTTAGTTACACCAGTCAACCAGCAAGCAGCATGGAGAATCTAAGCAGTTAGCTCACCTATGGTAGTCCAGGCAGGTATCCTTCTCCAATACGCCTCCAACAGCGGAGTATAGCCACACTAGCACTCCCCTTCGCGGAGCAAAACAAAGGATGAAGAAGATTTGTTGCAGTTTGCAGCCTTTAGCTGACATAAGTTACTAAAGGTCTTGGGGGTCCCATCGCTGCCCTGGCCGCACACGGGCTTGAACTCCGTGGTGCAGATCGCTGACTGCATACACATGGGGTCTGATTAGCACCTGGTACACGTCGTTATCCTCTGGTTGAAGTGCTTACACATCCAGAATCCCGTTTGATGTGTCTGCCTCTGTGAGCCATGGAGAGACCGATGGCCATGAACGTCAAAAGATATTGGACCTTCATTTTGGTTGATCGCTCTTGATAGCTATACGTTGGGCAATTTGGGATATATTTTCCGCTTGGGAGATGGTAGATAAGCCGAGCGAGGCAGATCTATATTGAAGATGGCGTTCATAAACAGAGGGGAATGGTGGAAAGCGTCCGGAATTTAAACCACTCGTTCAAATTCCAAGTCTCACAAAGCCCCTTTTAAAATTAAAGAAAAGGAATTGACTCAATTGAGAGCAGGAACAAACTTCGCTAGTGTCGAAGATCGTTCTGACATATCTGGTATGCCCTCCCAGAACAACATCCCCTAATAATAGAATATGCGGAGTATAATAATAATTATAATAAGTCTTCAAATATTTATAGCTTAGTTAGCCCTATGGGGGTGCAGTCGGGGGACCAAACACTGCGTGCCAACACATTATACAGAGTATTATAAAGGATGGATGTGTTGGCAAACGCGACTGGTGGTGAAAGGAGAATCATCCTTTGAAGAGTTCAAGTACGGAGTAAAGGTAGTGCAGCGATATATTGCCAGATTCATGGCTTTGAATGAGCATCCAGAACTCGAGACTCTCGATCCATGGATCGAACGAGTCGTCGTATCACCAGCAGGCAAGATTCTGAGGTCGCCATCGTTCGTGCGGGCGTCCGAAAGCGGAAAGGTTCGTCTTGGAGAGTTAAGGTTGCCCCTTCCCCCACTCGGGCAGGCGCGAACTGTCTCACGTGGAAATCGCTGCTTTTACTCGTACTTAGTCATATATTAGTCATGAAGGAAAAAGCGGCGAGAGCCATCCCTGGAATTGTTAATTTTGGCGTCACTCATGACGGACCGCTTGATGCGATCGATGAACAGTGAGCAGTGCGATTACACCACCGCGACAGAAGTGCTGGCCACACAGTGATCGGTTGTGCATTACAGGTTACCTTATGAGACGGACGCCATGAGTGGGAGACTACTCTCCCGCAGCGCTACGCTGCTCTCGGGCAGAACGGTTGCGCGCCAGTTCCAGTACTTGGGCGTCACAAGAGCTGGGGGGCTCATCAATCCTCAAGGAAACGCATACTTACGTGTGAGATCATGGCCGCTAGGAACGAATGCTATTCACAATGTTCCGGCGGTCAGGACGATATCCTTTGCGCGCGTCCTGCCCAAGCTTGCCTTGAAGCTTGCCCGCATACCTGCCATGTTTGGAGGCGCAATGATAGCAGGCCTTGCATATATCCAGTATCAAGCAGCTCGTAAGTAAACTGATATGGGTCACTGCCTGTCATTTCCTTCCGAGGCTTTCTAACCTTCTTCTGCATCCATATAGAAGCTGGAAATTATGCAATCGATGTGATAAAATCCGCCGGCCAAACGGCAGGGGGTGTAGCCTTGGACGCGCTCCAGGGCCTTCGAGATATTGCGGAGCAGACGCAACAAGGCATCCAAAATACAAAGGATAATATTCAAGTACCGGAATGGGTGCAAAAAATTCTTCGAATGAACGAATTTGCTCCCTCCGGCCATGGAGGATCTTCGGGCGGCGGTGGGAGCGGTGACGGCGGAGGATCCCCAAAGAAGAGCAGCACTGGAATAGCAATGGCCGGTGCTGCCGCTGGCTCGAGCTTAGGATTTGATTCTGATCAGGAGAACAGGAGCGCCGCTACCCTAGCCCTGGACGAGCAAATGATGACCTTGACCCGGAAAATGATTGAAATCCGAAACATGCTACAGCGTGTCGGCCAATCCAATACCTTGACATTGCCATCTATAGTGGTAATTGGATCACAATCGTCAGGCAAGAGCTCAGTACTGGAAGCCATCGTTGGCCATGAATTCTTGCCAAAGGGATCCAATATGGTTACTCGCCGTCCTATAGAGCTTACTCTAGTCAATACTCCTGACTCTTCTGCGGAATATGGCGAATTTCCGGCTCTGGGATTAGGAAAGATAACAGATTTTAGTCAAATTCAACGTACCCTGACTGACCTAAACCTTGCAGTCCCAGAAAAGGAGTGTGTCATTGATGAGCCGATCCAACTTTCAATATACTCTCCACATGTCCCTGACCTTTCTCTGATTGATCTGCCTGGTTATATTCAGGTTGCTGGCCGTGGTCAGCCTCAAGAATTGAAACAAAAAATTTCCGACCTTTGTGACAAATATATCCAGGCTCCGAACATTATACTGGCAATTTCCGCCGCAGATGTTGATCTGGCCAATTCCACAGCACTAAGAGCTAGCCGGAGGGTAGACCCTCGTGGCGAGAGAACTATTGGAGTCATCACTAAAATGGATCTTGTCGACCCTGAACGAGGTGCTAGCATTCTCTCGGATAGGAAATACCCTTTGCGTCTGGGTTATGTTGGGATCATAAGTCGCATCCCGCAATCCGCTGGCCTGTTCTCTCGTGGAAGCGGAAATATTTCAAACGCGATAGTGAAGAATGAAAATGCATACTTTAACGCACACCCACGGGAGTTTGGCCCTGATAGCGAATTGTTTGTGGGTACAAGTGTCCTTCGAAAGAAGCTCATGCAAACCCTAGAACAAACTATGGCGTCTAACCTTGCTGGGACTCGTGATGCGGTTTCTCAAGAATTGGAAGAAGCTACGTACGAGTTTAAAGTCCAATACAACGACAGGCCTCTAAGTGCAGAATCATACCTTGCTGAGAGCTTAGATAGCTTCAAGCGCTCGTTCAAGGAGTTCAGCGAGGGGTTCGGGCGGCCACAAGTTCGGGAGTTGCTGAAAGCCCAGCTAGACCAGCGTGTTTTAGATATCCTGGCTCAGAGGTATTGGAACAAGCCGATAGAGGACATCTCACTGGCTCTGCCAGAAGTTGATCCTTTAAGCAGCCTTCCTACCTCAAGCCCAGATTCCTTGTACTGGAGGCGAAAACTTGACGCTTCTTCATCAGCTCTTACTAAGTTAGGAATTGGGCGGCTGGCTACGACAATCGTTGCAAACTCATTGCAAAACCATATCGATTCTTTGGTAGCATCGTCAACTTTCAACGCACATCCCTATGCGCGGAAAATCATTGAGGAGGCCTCCACTACCATACTCAACGATCGATTCTTTAGTACGAGTGACCAGGTTGAGAATTGCATCAAACCTTACAAATTTGAGATAGAGGTTGATGATATGGAGTGGTCTAAAGGGCGAGAAAATGTGACTAGAAGTCTGAAAGAAGAGTTAAAGGCATGCGAAAGTGCATTAAAAAACGTTGAAAACGCAGTTGGAAAGCGGAAACTCAGGGATGTTATGTCATTCGTGGATAAGTCACGGAAAGGGGATATTAACATCGAGGGTGATAATACTGGTGGTGCTGGAGGGTTCAGTGCATCGTTGATTGAGCAAGGTGAGTTAGCTTTGATTTAATTATCCTTATTACTCGTATACTAACTTGCTTAATTTAGCCCGAAATGCTGCCTTTCTACGTGATAGGGCTGACATTCTGAAGATGCGGCTTCTCGCCGTCCGCTCTAAACAATGTTCCTCCAAGAAGAACCGACATTACTGCCCAGAGGTGTTCCTGGATGTTGTTGCCGACAAGCTTACTTCCACAGCGGTACTTTTCCTCAACGTTGAGCTTCTATCCGAATTTTACTACCATTTCCCTCGGGAGCTTGACCTACGATTGGGCCGTCACCTGTCTGAAGCAGAGGTAGAACGATTCGCCCGTGAAGACCCGCGGATCAGAAGACACTTGGACGTGATCCAGAAGAAGGAGATGCTTGAACTAGTTTTGGAAAAGATTGAAAGCTTGCGGCAATTGGAAGGGCGCAGCAAATCCAATCCGAATCAAGCGGCTGCTACGAAGGAGCGTGTAAAGGGAAGTTGGCGCCTATTCTAAGTACCCAACTTCCCATGGGGACCTGAGCCATACGTGTCCCTTTATGATTATTTCCTTTCTCCTTATTGTTTGATATACCAATACACCAAAGACTTCGGCGGCGTTATTATTGGATTGGCATTGGGCCACCAGCTATATCTGGCCTGACCCATTTTTTCACCCGGGTTGCGAAGTGTTTGGTTTATTCTACCATTCCTCTCCATTATGTATATACAAACCCTATATCTAATGTATCACTTAAAAAATGTTGCGTGGTTTATTGACTCTTTTCATAGAATCTCCATTCATAGGCTAATGTATGTATGGTGGACACCCAAACAATAAACATATCCCAGCCCTATGCCATAAATCCAAGTATTATACATGCAAATATTCCCGCTCAACACACTCCGAGGCGCGAAAAAAGAAGTGATGTACAGAACGCCGTCAAGACCATTGTAAAAAGATGTGATCCAAGACAGATAGCTGCCTTTCCGTTATTTCCCCCCTCGTCCAGCACACTATCCTATCATTATCTGGTCAAGGGTGAGGGTCTGTATTCGTTTCCAAATGTCTCTTCCTGTATCTTCGTGTTGTTCCACTCAATGCGGCCTGGAACATCCTTGACTTCTTTCAATGTAGAGCCGAGTTTCACAACTGAATATCGTATCATTCGGGGATCAAGACCAAGTGTTCGTCGCATTTCCTTTTGCACAGGAGCGGCGGCATCGAAACGCATGATAAAGTGATGGCCTACGGTGTTCTTCACCTGGTGTTTCGTTGTAGGTCGTGGGAGAGTGAACGGGCCCCAGTTGGTATATCCGCGAACAACACCGCCGGAACGGATTACTTGGAGGCCGAGGGTACGGGCAATACTATAATGCAGCGATTAGAAATCCTGAAGAGCATTATATTTTATATTTTATATAAGATGGGTTGAAGCTGTTGTTCACCTACTCTTTGACTTCTTGGAGACTGCCCTGACGGACCTGTAGGAGACCAGTTAGGAAGCTGATTCAACCAATTCCTGCGCTATCATAGCTTCATCATGGGGTATGCGTACAATTGCAACTAATTCGTACAGCATCGTGATAATCTCTGCTCGGCGGCCGTGGTCGTTGATATAATATGCAATTTCAATAACATTGACGTTTGGTCGCTGCTGGAAAGCAAAGCAAATCTTTTTTTTTTTTCAAGCGGTATCGTTACGGTACCCATTATTACCAAATTGACCAATCATAGACCACAAATCGCCGACCCCGGAGAGAAATCAACGTGTTTACATCGGCGTAATGCTGTAATCTGAATACGCCGCGGCCTCGCTTTCCTCCTTTTTCCCGAAGCTTCACCGAACTGTTTCCCGTCAACTTCTTCTCCCCACCACACAACGAACTCCCAGCATCGCTCTTTTCTCTTGCGCTGTCTAGCATCTTGTTCTGGTTGTCAACAGAAGCCGTGTAATCGTTAGAAGCGTCCGCAATGGCTGCCACCGCTATCCGATTCATTGCTCCTCTCCGAAGCGCCCTCAGCGTTCCCCGGTTCCGAGCTTCTTCCGCTCTCCGCTATGCCGCTCAGCCAAACATCAGACGGCCATTCTCCCAGAGTTCACTGCGTACGTACAATTTGATAGCCTAATCAATCATCTGCATGCTAGTCTGGGTTCAATTGAGCTGCAGATAGCTATTGGGGCGGGACTATATAACGTGGGCTGACATCTTCGGTTACCGGTTAAATAGTTCAAGCAAAGAAATACACCGAACAGCATGAGTGGATAGATCTTTTGGAAGATGGCAAGACCGGTATACTTATATCCTCCTACGAGCCCCCTTCTTTATTCTGAAGTACTTGAGAAGTACTGGAGCTTCTACTAGAATGATATCCCGAACGATTCTTTCAAGTCGAGGAAACTGATAACAAGAAGCCGACATAACTAACACAATATATGATAGCTAAAATTGGTATCACCGAATATGCTGCCAAAGCACTCGGAGATGTTGTTTACGTCGAATTACCAAACGTTGATGATGAGTTTGCGTGCGGTGATGGCATTGGCGCTGTCGAGTCTGTCAAGTCTGCTTCAGACATCATGTCTCCCGCCAGCGGGAAAGTCATCGAGGTCAACACCGTTCTGGAGGAGAAACCAAAGACTGTCAACGACTCGCCCGAGGGAGACGGATGGTTCGCCAAGATTGAGGTTTCCGATGCTAGTGAGCTGGATGGTTTGATGGATATCGAGGCATATAAGGCATCCTTGGAGGAAGCCGACTAAACCTTTGGGTGACTCTGGCCTTTCTCCGGGATTGTTTTGAAGTTTCATGTTTCTTATTCATTAGCTACAAATTGTGCTAATGATGTTCGCATATCCTCCGTCTTTTCCCCTTCTGGGCGGCTAAATACTTAGATCTGACCCTGCCCTGATTCCCTAACTGTGTACTCATGCTATAACTAAGGGATGTACCAAAGGTAAAAGCTCGGCGCCCTGTTGTTTGCTGGATGGTCGTGGCGCCATAACTATTCCTATTTCTCTCATTTTGCGTATAATGTTGTGTATATATACTCTTCAACAGACATAAATGTTCAACGGCTGCGTTTTAAGTCATGATACCCACACAGGACGAAAATGAAGTCTGGATTACCTACTATGCCGGCGAGAAACTGTATCAAACTGTATCATTTCCATGGGAATGATACCAAAAATACAGAGAATTATCATCTACTTAAATATTTATTTGAGCCTAACCAAGAATATACAGTACAATGGTGTTGGAGGAACAATCAAGGGATCAAATTGGGGGTATTGACTCTCGACAGATGGGGCATTGCAACCTCAGCCGCATCCACGTTTCCAGACATTGAGAGTGGAAAATATGGCGGCAAGGAGTTACCATATAGGCACGTCGACTGAATAGGTGCGTGGCACCTGTTGTTACACTGGTTCCCGCGCTAGGATCGTTCCCAGTAACAACTGGGACATTAATATCCTGCATGCATATCGCACAGCTAAAATCCCTCCTGTTTTGGCGAGAGTCTATCTCCTTGCCTCCATCTCGCAAGCCTGACGGCGGTTCACTCTGCTCAGCACGGAGTGAAGATATCGGTAAGGCGTCTCCAGCCTCCAAGTCCTCAGCAGAACCAGAGGCAGACGTGTCTCGCAGGATTGGATGGTAATCGTACGCAGGTGGTACCCAACTTTTGGGAACGAAAAAACGTGGCCCAAGGATATCCTGGCTGACAAGGCTCCAAATCTGGATCCATACCCAAAATGTGAGTAAAAGGGTTGTGATACCATCCGCCCGGATAAATAGGACGTTTTGGGGTGTAAAGTAGAAATACAAGAAAGGGAACAGACGAAGGAGGCTTTGTCCCACGACAAATTCCCATCTTAGAGCCTTGCGGCAATTGCGCATTATATTCCGATAAGTTTGCGGGGTCCAGAACGAGAGGTATATAAACGACAAAACATTGCCGTAAATGGTTCGGAGGCGACTAGGCCAGAAGAGTACCCAGGATGAGAAAAATAACAGGCTGAAAAGGAGGAAATAGAACCGTGAATACATTGCTCCAGCATTAGCTGTGTCATCGTTCTGGTCAGGAGTTGTTGGGTTCACAGCAGTCCCAGGGTTTTCATCTTGATCTGGAGGGAGGATGACTGGGGTTGCACCTGTATCCGTTGGCCGTCTTGCTGTCACCGGTAGTGGAAGGGTTGATGGAGTTGGGTGGACAACTGTTTGGTGTCGTTGTTGCTGCTGTTCTCTTCGTTCCGGAGCTTGCACCAGCCAGATTTCAATCTGAAATTTCATGCCCAGAAAGCTAACGCCGAAGAATGCTAGGAAGGAGGTAGCTGTAAGTAGCAAAAATGAGGTCTCCGAGTATAGCTCTATAAGCATAAAAGACATAAACAGTGCGTCTCCCATTGACATCATAGCAATGGTATAGAAGCTAACTCGGCTTCTAGTTGAAGGTGTCGAGGATTCCTTCATCTGCTTCATCAACAACAGTATCTGCGATGCAAGTATTCCAGCAACTGATGTGATAAAGCGTCCGGTATATTTACTATATTCTTCTTGTTTCAACCCGACTAAGTATAATTCGTCTGTAGGAGGGTATTCTGGCGACGCTTTAGTTTCGAGGACAAATCCACAGTCTGGGGAAAATATAACACCAGATAATACCAGTGGTGACGGCTTTGGGATAGGTGCACCTGTGGGGAATCTGAGTTCCCGCTCAATATCTTCTATAATAGACTCTGGGATGGGCTTCCCTCCGGATAGTAGGACATGTTGCTGCAGGTATACAACATATTCGCAGTTGGGGGCTGGAAGAGACGCCGAATTAGTTCCTTGGGAAAGAGATGACCAAGGCAGGAAGGTATTGAGATGACTGGACCTCTCCGAAAGAGCTTCAGTGAGCGAGTTGTTAAGCAATTCACGGGAGAGTTCAAACGTGTCATTCGACAAAGCTAAATGGGGTATCAATGCAAGACCAGCGTACTTCTCGCTTGCAGTGGTAAGAATAATTCCCCCAGATGTTGGAAAGTGTACACCGTATAGGGGTACTACCCAACTCTCTCCAAGAGATTTATCAGTCCGTAAAAGCATCTCCGCTTTGATCTCCTCAACACCTTTGCCATCCTCACCAACAAGGCTGTGTCCTTGACCCTCGTGTAGATTCAACACAACACGGCCATTGGGAGCGGTAACATTGTGACCAAATTCTCGAGTGAAATACTCATGCTCGGTGATTATTGTAGTGAGGTTGAGTTCCGGTCGGCTCAGCTTGTCTGTTTCCATAGAGCGAACCCATTCACCACGAACATTGCCCGAGACATTGCGGTAAACCGGAAGGGAGAGACCGGTGATATTCGTTTTCGAAGATACCGAATCTGACGTTCCAGAAGCACTGAGGGCTACCCGTAGCCGCTTTCTAGCCTTTTCTTGGACAGATGGAAGCAGGTTCCACGCATAGCCATCTGTGGCCCTGATACCGGCAAGGGAAAGCCATCGACCAGCTTGGGGATCCAAATCTCCATAATTTGACGAGTTCAATGAAGTGAGAGCACTCTCTTCGTCTGCTAATCGACGTTTATAATCGCGTACGGAGACCGAAGATGGCGGGTGAGGATTTGGAGCCGTGAAGAGGAAGAAGAGGAGGATGAAGATGAAGGCACCACGACGCCCGTCCATGGAGGCTGACGGCCGGGAAGCTTAGCCGGCCGGTCGTTCAAGTCTAAAATCCATGTCCTGCTCCCTGTCTTAGAGCTTCCGTTGGCCTTCTTCTTGCGACGTTGCTCCAAGGTCGGATGCTTGAAACGTTGCGGTTGATGTTGGGCAATGGAGGCGACAGCGATTAAATCCAAAATAGCCGCGGCAAGATCGCTAAGCGCCAAAGGAGATAAGATCAACTTCGTTCCATGACGCTTGCTATAATATGCCACATAACACCAACCCACCCTTCAATGATGGACTCGCAATGACTGCATGATAGCTGTCCCTCACGCGACTCACACGGATATAATGCTTCTCAAGTAGAGACAGTAATCTGTTTGTTTCCTTCCGGCGCGAATACGTAGTGGCAGCTTGCCTGAATTGGCCATCATGGCTTCAGGGCTCCCTATCCCACTCCCTCCCCGGACGCCTAGTCCACCGCCGGATAATATCACGTCTTCTCCGGCCGGGAGCGTTTCCATTGGATACCAAAGGCAAGGATCTCTCGAGCCTGTTGCCCTCCCATCGTTGACAG